CATGAAGACGTTTAAGTTGAAACGATAGTGCAAATGAACAGAATCGAAGAGCTACAATCCTATATTTATTGAATTGCTTGAACCCCCCGGAAAACAATATCGGTGCTAGAAAGACTGACATTCTAACCTTTCCAAGATGGAACAGTATCACCCATTCGGTGCTGTGAAATTCTAAGATGATTAAAATTTTTCAACTGCACCTGCATTTTTTTAATTTGGCGGTAAATCCGTAACAGTAAAAACCTATATTTATTTGACTTTTGAAGAAACCATGACGTAATTCTTTGGGAAGAAGCCTTGTTTTAAAAATTACTGACGAAATTGTAGCTACTCAATTGTGAACTAATATTTTAGGCGTTCAAGTGCATTTATTTTGCACTTCACGCCTTTGACATGGTGTTTCGTTTGTCTTGCCGCTGTGTCACATATTCGCAAGCTTTTGAATAGAATATATAAGGATATTTTCAACTGTAAGACTGCTCTTCCACTTTTGCAGGTGACTGGTCTTATTTGGATTGAGCTATCCCTCCAAAATATCATTTAGCGTATTTTGGCTTCATAATATTTAAAGACAACCCAGTTCTCGCATTTAGAAGAAAAATGTCGTACGTATTGCGAGTCCCACAACCTAGGTTGAAGTAAGCTCTTTTTACTTCACGTGGCAAAATATAAATGGTAATATCATTCTTTTTATTTAAGTGTAGGCGATTTCTAGACAGGGTGTCCAGAAGCATCTCGATGCGGTGAATTTACGCTTTCCCTTTACCACGTTTTACTGGTATCGTATCATATCTCTGTCTACTTAGACTTTGATATTTTGTGCTCCTTTCGGGGCCATCTACAACGAAGATGAGAATATTATGTTAAAAAAATTCCGTATCCATTGCGCCATATTGTTTTCTTCAAATTGGTGAAGTACTTGTCACGTTATTTTTCTGTTTCTAAGACAAGTTCGCCTACTTCGAATAATTTACAAGTAATTGGTCGTTTGAGATAAGTTAGATAAAACGCATATATCAAGATTTACTGAACCAGTTAATCAGCCCCCTCACCTTCAAAAGTGGTAATACTAAATTTTCTGATATTTAAACTTTCAACAAATCTGTAGACGATGCTTTGAGCATCAGGAGACAAGCTCTATATCGAAGCAGTTTTGATAGCCAAACGTTGAACCCAATTGCGAACGGCTAAATTTACATTTTTCACTAAATTTTAGACACGTGAATTTTGGGTATTTTCTCGGCTGTGAGATATTTGGATATTGGACATTCATAGCCGTGTTGAAAAACCAATTCCAATTTTCCATTCGTTTCCGCTTGTTTGTTGAAGAAGCAAAGAATGGTGCAATTTATATCTTACGCGTATGTTACTTTATAATTTTACTTGAAACAGATCTTGAAGAACTTGAAGAGTATTCAAGTTCTTGTGGGACTTCCAAATTATTGTTTGAAAAAATGTGAAAAGGTTGGACATTTGGAATTTTTCGAATTTGTAGTTTTCTCTTCTCTGCTTGAAGGAATAAATTTGTAATATTTTTGGACATGGTTCAATCTCTATTCCATCTATGGTAGAAAATAATAATTTAGTTTGAAGAAAATTTGCCATTTTCCAGGGTTAGTCAGTTAGTGCAGCAGCCTGAGTGTAGGTATGTAGTCCTGTTGTTTGGGCTAATTCAGAGTGAAGAATGTTGGTAGGATCAGATGTTGGGGCACTGGAAGGGCTGAGGAGTGAGGCCTGAGGGCAAGGATAAGGCTGGGGGTAGGTGTTGGGTTAGAAGTGAGCAAAAAGGTGGGGGAGGGCGTATGGGAAGACCGAAGAGGCACAGTGCACAGGTGACAGGTACTGTTAGCTGCAAGGAAAGTGGAGGTGGCACCGGCCACTGTAGGAGGTGTCAGGTGTGGCCAGCACCACCGGGCGCATGAAGCACCCGTTTTGGTTTATCTTTCATCAGGTTGCTATAAGTTGTTTCTTGCTTTCTTTACAGTTTTTGTCAAAATTCATTACACAGTTCTTACATTCATTATTCATAAGAAGCTCTGGATTAATCAAGCCTTACAAGACAATATGTTGGCAAATCAGTACATTTTAAATGTGTGAAAAACTGGCATTTGCTGCATTGCAGCACAAGAGTCGCATTGCAAAGCTCCTTGCAAATGATGCAGGAACTATCCATAGGGGGTTGTGAAAAAACACATCTAGCCATCTTACCTTGTCTTTCTTATTATACTATTACACTGAATATTTTACACCATTACACAGGATATCCTGCCTTACACCGAGCTCAGGTTCTGACTGCAAGAACCCTGGCTTGAAACGCTTGGCTCACAGACTGCACTGTAGGCTCAGCAGGAAGGAAGCAATAAATACCTTTGCTTTAAACACACCTGCTTCTCCCCTCTCTTACTACAGCTCAACTGCCTCAACACTCTTATTTGTTTCAGTGATTTAATGCAAAATACATGACACTTAATGTAAACACTTCACTGCTTAACGTATTGAATGCTATAATTTCATTCTACGGATGTTATTTTTTTATGTCTTATCATATATAAAAGAGTAATTTTCTGAACACTTTCACACTGAACAAATTATACTCCTTTTTACTGACTTCTATTATTTTCCACCAAAACACTGAATTACATCTCTTAGGCCCAGTCTGTACAATTAATTAACAACTGGTCATCAGAGAAAAATAAGTATCAACTATTTCCTTCACTGAGAGCCGGCTTGGACACCTACGTCCTATCCCAATGACGTCTAGTACTTAGTAGGGAAGTAAACTGCCACTCAAGAGTCAATTGTAGAGTTCAAATCAGTTTGAAATAATGTTGAATGCATGAATGCAAACATATAAATTTTGCTCCTGGGCAAAAACTTGATTGCGCTACTGTCTAAATTACCGTACTTTAAATTGTCACAGCAATGTTCTCAAATTAGTTTCGATACAATTTCTTGCAATCGATGTAGCATCCAGTAAAACGTGGTAAAGGGAACTGCAAAAATTACATTATTATTCAGATTATTGCATTCCATTCTGTGCTGCACTTGTCAACATTATAAATGACCATAGTACTATTAGAACAATCATCTAATATTATTAGACATGCTTACGGCAAACGAATGAATCTCTCAAGCTTGAAAACTGCCAGTGTCTGTAGTAAAGAAAAATTTGCCGTGTTGAAAAATTTGCCGTGTTGAAACATTTTGCTTAAAAAAAATTTGCAGACTGGTGGTGGTTCTAAAACTTAATTGATGGATTTTCTGTATCTCAATCCAAAGCAAAATGGTGGCCATTTCCACACAAACAGGGTAATAAGGGACACCCCCAGGCTAATTTAGGACAACCCTAAAAATGCATTAACAGTAGAACCTTGGTTAGCAAAGGCTCCAGTTAACAAAAAATCAATTAACAACAAAGAATTTTGATTACATTTACCTTGCTCAGTGAAAAAAGTTCACTTAACAAAAAAATTAATGCATCATCGGTCATCACAAAATTGTGCATAGAATGTCACCGGGCAACATAAAATGAAAAGTAATTAACCTAAACTATGATTTATTTCTCCAAAAAACAAGATGTTTGTCAATAAAATTTTCCTTTTGTTTCAGTTATGATTTTACAATCCTTTTTTGTTATATCAAATTCACTTGACCTAATTAAAATGGTGTGAAATTACAAGCCCAGTCCTGAAAGCTTACATATTCAGAAGAAATGCCATATGGCTGCTGATATGAAGCTTGCAGTGGACAAGGTCGTTGTCAATGTTCAATGACATGTTCATGGATATGGTTATGGTACCATCAAATGGTGTAATAAGAGACAGGTGGGGTAATAAGGGACAGTCCTCCAACATTTTTTTTTTGATATGTTGTAGCAGCTAACTTAATTAAAATATTGAAAAACTAAAAATAGTGGCATAAAGTTCAACATTTTTCCTATCTATGTAGCATAAAGCAAGTTAAGAAATCATACATTTACTACCTCTAGAAAATCCCTGAAAAAAAGTGAAAAAGTGAGATTTTGGTAAAGTACCTGTGCTAAGGTCTGTAGCAAAAAAAAATTATTTATGTTAACAATTTATAGCTACATAAATGATAATTTATGTAGCTATTAATTATTATGCAGCTACATAAATTATTATTTATGAAGCTTTATTAAAAAATTTAACTTTCATAAAAGTTGCACATGCTTAAAAATGTGATTGACAGATTTTGCATAGCTCATTCCAAAAAAAAAATTGTGGCCGTTTCCGCATGACGGGGTTATAAGGGACACCTCTAAAAATGTATTTAAAGTAGAACATTGGTTAGCAAAGGCTCCTCTTAAAAAAAAAAATAAAAAAAATTTTATTATATTTACCTCGTTCAGCGATAAAAATTTCACTTAACAAAAATTAATGCATCATCAGTCATCACAAAATTGTGCATAGAATGTCATAGATAGAATTGTTCACTGGGCAACATAGAATGAAAAGTTATTAACCTAAACTATGATTTTTTCTCAAAAAAATGTGATGGTTGTCTCTAAAATATTCCTTTCTGTTTCAGGTAGGTATGTTTTATATTGTCTTTTTTTTTTTGTTATAGTGATTTCGCTTGGATCAATTAAAATGGTGCAAAATTACAAGCCTTCCTGTAAATCTAGCTATGGAAGAAATGCTACATGACTGCTCATATCAAGCTTGCAGTGGACAAGGTTGTTGTCAATGTTCAATGGCATGTCCATGGATTAGGTAATATCACACCAATAACATGGTAATGTATGGATAACGTAAAATCATATCAATAAAGGAAAAATGAGTGAAAATCATAGAAAATGTTATTTATTCTACATCTACATCATCTACAAAGGAAGAGGAAGACTTCAGAGTACTGTTAGTAATAGATGAGTACACTCTGCATGCTTCAAATGTATTAAAATTAGGTTTTATTTCAAGTGTTCCTTATTACCCCATTCCCAGGGTTGGTTCAGGAGGCTGTTATTTTGCATCTGGCACCTTACAAATAGCATATGGAATTTTTTCAGAGACGCCATTTGGTAGCCCTTGCAATTTGCAAATATCTTTATAATGAGCCTAAACTTGTTTGTGAAATGTTTCATGGTAAGAAGTTATTAAGGAAAAATGCTCAAAACCATCCCATATTGCCCCATTTGACGGTAATATCTCATAAATAATACGGTAATGTATGTTATGGTAATATCACACCAATAAAAGTAAAACAGGTACAAATCACTAAAAATGTCATTTATTCTACATCTAAATCATCTACAAAGGGAGAAGAAGACTTTGGAGTACTGTTAGTAATGGATGAGTACACTCTGCAGACTTTAGACATTTGAAATTGTTTTATTTCAAGTGGCCCAAATTACTTTGTTCCCAGAGATAATTCAGAACTCTTTTATTTTCCATCTGACACCTTCTGAAAAAACGTGGAATTTTTATGCCATGTGATATCCTTGCAAAAACCTTTAAAATATGCCCAAACTCGTTTATGAAATGTTTCATGTTGAGCAGGGTTGGTGATTTTTTTTAAATCAAAAAAATAAAAAATCAATGATTTTTTTATTATATCATGATTTTTTTTTATTTATTTGACTTTTTTTATTTTTTTCAGCTTTTTTGTCTTTTTGAAGTGTTATTTTTTATATTGCAATTAGCCTACTAACAATAACAGTATATGGATCATAATGGATGGCTAAAAAGGGCACTTATTGCCTTCAATAATGGCCAACAGGCCAAGGTGGTGTTTACCACTGAGGGATTTTTGGGTAAACAATTATTGATAAGTCCATTCATTAGCTTTGTAAAGTTTGTATGGAGCAAGGTAATGAGCTAAATATTGACCATTTAACTGGCTACAATATACAAAAACACTTCAGGAATGCAGATCTTCTAAACATTGAAGAGTCACAACAGATAGGTAGCTGATAGCACAGTGCACAATACTATCAATAGATCTACTAGTTATATGTCCTATAAATCTACCAGACCCCTCTATACACACCGACTGGTAGTGACTGAGTGACTGACTGCACTGTTCCCATTTAATTCAGATCAATAAACCAATACTAAACATAAAATGAACAATAACCAAACAAACCTCATACGACTTGACACGAGACTTAAGTTATGAAAAAATATTTAATTAGAATACATGTATTAGGGTGGAAAATCTTTCTAATTGCCTAAAAGGTCAATACAATCTCAACCTCTCAATATACAGGGTGGGGCAGAACTGATTGAGCAGTTTTGAGGTAAAATAAAAGAGTAATGGAGGTACATAAAGAAGAAAGTTTATTTTCCTAGAGGTTAGCATAACATACCATTTAGAATACCTACTTATGTTTTGAAAACAATATCTAGAAGATGGAGGCTGTTAGCCTCCATCTCCAACATTGTTGGAGTCATTCTCAGAGGAGGGGGTAACCGTAACAGTGAATTCCGATCGCTCTGCTGCAATGTTGCAAAATTTCTTGCAGCCCATGATGAAAAACATTGTTGAAAATGAAGCATTGGGAGGCGTATGATTCCAGCAGGATGGGGCTACAGCTCACACAGCTCGAATGGCACTCAATGTTTTGAAACGCATGTTCCCAGACTCCGAGGGGTGATTTACAGTGGCCTGCGAGATCACCTGATTTGAGCATTTGCGATTTCTTTCTTTGGGGACATCTAAAAGAGAGGGTATTCAGAAGTTACCCTCATATCCTACCACAGCTAAGGGAACGGATTATTGCAGCAGAGGTTATGACCATACCTCGCCATATGTGTGAACCTGCTGTAGAAAACTTCCGAGAATGACTCCAACAGTGTGATGCAGCTAACAAACCCAATCTTCCTGATATTGTTTTCAAAACATAAGTATTTTAAATGAAATGTTATGCTAATCTTGAGGAAAATAAACTTTCTTCTTTATGTACCTCCATTACTTTTATTTCGCCTCAAAACTGTTCAATCAGTTCTGCCCCATCCTGTATAAGCTAGCTAACACATTTAAATTATATATTGTAATCAATATATAACAAATAGTCAAATAGTTAAAGACTACTTATAGCCTTATAAGAATTAGCTAAGCTGCTAGCCATGTACAATGTATTGCACACTTGATGCTTCTGTACCAAAACATTCAATTTATGGAACCTAATACACACTAAAGGCAACAAGTTTATATACTAATTTGTCATTTATAGTACATTTATACTAAACCATGAATAACAATACCTCAATATAAATTAAAGACTGCCACTCAATATATTTATATATATGAAAAAATCACAAAAAATTAAAAAAAAATTGAAAAAATAAAAAAAATCATGATTTTTTATAAAAAAAATCAAGTGATCAAATCACATGATTTAATCATTTTGATTTAATCATTGCCAACCCTAATGTTGAGTAGTTTAAAAAAATGCTTAAAAGCGTCCCTTATTACCCCGTTTGATGGTACTACTATACCTATGTAATGATCTGACTTCAATTGCCCCTATCCATTCTTTCCCAACAATGCTTTTCTATTTTCCCACCAAGAATGAAATTTCAGGTTCTTGTTAATAATATTCCAAAATGATAAGTATCTTGAACATGTGCCAACAAAGCCCCTGTGATTTTGCGGTGCCAGGCTTTAACAAAACCTTTCCCTAAACTTTGACCAATATACAAAAGATTGTGAACACTAATATTTAAGTATTAAATTGAGGCATACTTCATTATATTCTGATTTCATGAAGTCAATGATAATGATGATTTCTAGAGATATGGTTTTTTAAGCCTTCTTTATTTTGAAAAAATGATGTCTGAGCCACTGATTTTTTTTATAGCTTTTATTTTAATTATTAAGAATAGCTAAGACCAAGGCGTGAAGCATGATATTGTAGCCTCAAACCCAAGCAAAGCAAATACTTTGAAATATTTTAAATTACCTTTTGTATCACTTACCTACTAAAGAATTTTGTGCCAAATTCATTGCCACTTGAATCATTTATTTTTAGTTGTATGCTTTTTGATGTGTTTGTATTTTTTTTTGTTTGGTAATGTGTAAAATCTACCATCAACAGGTCAACAATAACAGCCTTAATAGTAGCATTAGTTTTAACTATTGAGCTGTATGATGTTGAATCCTAATTAAATTGTTTCTGAATCCTACTGCAGAATGCCAAGTGTAACTTGTGTCATGCTAGGCAAATTTCTCTTCAAATAAAGTAGTTGAAAATTAGATTGAAAGTTTTTATCTATAGTTGCAACATGGTTATTGAAGCAGAACTTATCATGGATGTCATCTGTGAAGTGGCTCGTGATCGAGGATTAATGGTATGTGAAAATTTTTTACAAAATATTGTCCTATACTGGTATATTTTTTTAATTCACAGAGACATAGCTACCATTATCAAGAATGAAGTCTTCCTCATGCAATTCATGCTCATAGCTCATTGCTTATGGAGTTTTGTAGTTCAGAAGCATCTGAGGAAATTATTCTAAGTACTAAATGCAATGCAGAGCCATGACTGCATTGGTTCTGTCTGTGAAGACAGAGCCAATGTCTGTAAGATCATACATGACATGATTGTTTGCTTCAATGTCACTGCATTAAAATAATGCTAGTAAATAACACATTTAACCAATGCATCACTCCTCTTCATCTTGTTGCATATAGAGCTCTTCCACAAAATACATGAGAAGACCTTATCCAAGAACAAAGTTAAAATGCATGTAAATTGATTGGGAATATTGTTATTTTCAATCTTGCTCTATTATTGTTGATCCTCATTGAGGATGTAGTACAGTTCTTGAAAAACAATTCCTTGAATAGGAAGGTTCTAGTTTGTTAAGTCTTCCAAAATGGCCAAGAATTATTTGCTTTTAACACTCACAAGATAACAGGTGAGTTCTATTGGCAAATTTTTGCAAACTTGTTGAAAATACAGTGGGAAATGTGTTATTTATTGAAATAATAGAAAAATTTGTCACCAGAGAGTGAAATGCAACAAAATTAATCAATCACAGACTATATCAAAATGCCAGACAAAATAGATTTAGACTTTGAAATATTCTGTAGACGTAAAATATTCTAGCTAGTAATATAAGATTCTGTAGTTTTCATTCTATGTTTAAGGCAACTTGCTAGTTGATTTTGAATATTACACTCCTATTAGTGAGCATTTATTTTCAACAATTAGACGTTATTATTTCTTTTTCTTCAAATTATTAATATTTGTTCATTGTTCATAATTCAGATATGTGTCAAGAATTCAGTAGCTGGTGGTGCCGCAGTGGGTGCTAGCGCTACAGCAGGCAGTCTTCTCCTAGGTCCTATTGGATTACTAATAGGTTGGTAACTCGATGTATGGATGCATTAAATAAAAGCTACTGGCACAGATTTACATTCTTGAAGCAGATTTGAGTGCATGGGTTGATTCCACCATCTCAAGGTTGAATTTCCACATGATTGTGAATCAAAAGCACAGAATTTTGTGAATTACAGTAGTGGTTGATTCTATTTCCATTCAACTTTACAAAAATCTTGCATTTTTTCTTCAGGTGGTGCTAATTACTTTCTCTCAATGAAATGAAACATCACTATTCTATCAGGTGGCACGGCAGGTGCAGCTTTAGCTTCATGGTGGATGCAGGGCCAGTATGTAAGTGCAGTCTCTGCAATCCAAGCCATGCCACAAGATAAAAAGGATGAACTAGTGAAGAAAGTTGGGGTAAGTATGGGCCTTAAGTTTATATTACAAATTTTTCTTTTTGATTTAATATTTCATTAGAATCTACTTATGGTGCTGGCTCAAACATTGTTTCTATATTAAATTAATGGAGGTATTGGTAAACATGTTTCTAAAAGAAGGAAAATAAATTCATATTGGTCTCCAAAATTATCTGTAGAAAATCCTGAATGTTAATAGCTATTTTCAAGACTCATAAATTTGATGATCAGTAGGCAAGCAAAAAGTTCTCTGGCTTCATTCATATCAGGTGCTGCAAAAATTTCACAAATTAATAATAAAGGAACAAAGAAAAATAATATTTCCATATCATGAGATTTGGTCCTTGAAATTCTATGTGCTTTCTTAGTTGAAAGTGTACAGAATTTGTGAAAATTATCCAATTATTGGTTGGTAGGTAATTTTTATAGTTTATTGGTGATTTTGTTCATAGATTAATTGTATTGTTCATATCTAAAAGAGTGGTGAATAGGTATACCAAAAATGAGTCGAGTATATATGTGTGCACTTCTGTAGGCTAATTATGAAGGTATAGGGAAGGTATAATTGTTCGATTATGCATTCAATCATTAAAATTATAAAAAATGGCAATGAACAAAGTGTGATAGGTGCATAAAATTTGTTACTTATTGACTTAATGCTGCATTGACTCTAGCAATGACATGGTGCAATGGCTGTTTCAAAAATAAGGTGACTATCAAACCCACTTGAAAATTTTAAAGTCTGAATAAAATTAACACCCATTGTAAGTTTCTGGTTTTGTAATATAGAATGCCGTATATTACAAATAGATGTTTGAATATATTCTGTACCCATTAAGGTAAGAAATTACTCTTCAAAACTGTTAGGAAAAGCAATTGAAATTCCTCCATATTTTTATAATGTCTTCAGCATATGTTTGGCGAATTTCTGGCTAAGAGACAATCCAAATTATAAGCTTTGAGAAATTGTTCAAATTATCTTAAATCCTGTACAAATTTACAAGTCCAGAAATGGTTTAACAAATATCTCTGTTGAATATTGTGATAGGAATGTATCAATAGCTCAGCTGAATGTTATTAGCTGAAAGAATTGGAATGAATGCACGTTTTTATTTAATTTCTGTGAGCATTTAACTCGAGGCACATAAGAACTTCATCTCCTAAGTCTGTAATTAACGTTGATGGTTTGAACAGAGTGTGTTACGGCAGCTGGACATCACAGATGTCGCCACCACCACCGCTATGATTCTGAGCAGCAGCGGCAACGTCCAGGAGCTTGTGGCGCGCGAGCTTATCAACTTCCTCAGTCAAAACATGAAGATGAATGTCATCACCTGATACTGTCGTCTACAAATAAAAGCCTAGATATCTAATCTCAGAAATATTTTCATACATAGTTATGACATTTATATGAATGTAGAAAAATGACATTTGAATGTAAGAAGGTATTGTTAGGTTTTATTAGCAATATTCCTTAGTTCAGACAACTCAAGAGGCCATGCTCCATAACTGTCTTCAAGATGATTAGTTTAGAAATTGCATGGCAATCTGTTTATTCTATTTACTTGGGATTTTAGCATTGAATTTTTTGCTGGACATCTTTCATTTGAATTGGTCATAATCACATGTCAGGATGTGATAATATCATTCATTTTTATATATATTCCTATTCTTAAAACTTTCAAATTTACAATTTGAGTTCATTTTTGAAGAGGTCTTTGAAATTTTTTCAAAAAAATATCTTATCATTGTTCCATTGTACCAGCTAGTTGTGATTTTTTCTTGTAGGGAGGTAATCAAGACTCGACGTGGCAACTATAAACTTGACTACTGGTATATAAAGACAATATTTTACACTTATATATTTTTTCAATCAAACGTGCTGTGAACAACCATATATTTAATTACAAGTTAGAACTACACCTTGTAGTACTGTGCAATTTATAGGCTAGAGTATCATATTGTTCCCATTGTTCATCTTTGAATTATTTCATCTCTTCTTAAAGTTCAAGAAAAATAAGACTATATTTATATAAAATTATGTACATTTTGCTAATTTCCTCAATGCCATGTGTAGTGTCACCATATATATATATGTGTCCCTATTATTTTCCATGTGTTTTTCAGTTTTTAATCTTTCAAAGTTTGCCTTGTTCTTACCAGCTTCTGTGAAGTGGCGGTTTGTGACGACGGATTTTTCTGCCTTTAACCTTTAGTGGTAGAGACAGATTTTTTATGGTGTAGTTAGTGATTGTGAAGAGCTTCAACGTTGTAGAACACGTTTATATTGTAACTTGCACGAACCTATCTTTTTTCTAATTGATACGATAGTAAATATTCATTTTGTTATGATCCTACTTATACTATGTAATCTAATACTATTGCCCCCCTCAGGGGAGACTTCTGACGCGTGTATGTGCTCGTCAGAAGTTCCATGGAATTTCTCGCTCCTAGGGGGGATTGTTCCTGAGCGCCCCACCGCTGAGCTGGCGGTGTCTGACTGCAGGTCTGAGTTGTGGTGTTAAGTTATTATGTAGGTAGGATTCCTTACATTAAGTTATTAAGTAGGCAGGATTCTTTACATTTCCCTTTTCTGTCTCTCGTGCGAGCGGCCGACGTCCCGTGTAAGCGACCTCTTGTTCGAGTGTCTTCGTTTCTGTTGCTTTTCACCTGTCCCTCCTTGTCACTTCGTCTCTTTGAGATGCTAACGCTGCTTCTTTTGAGTCAGCTTCAGCGGGCTGGACATCTAAGACCTCCCGCCCCTTTTGAGTGATGATTAATTTGAGACTGAATAATTAAGACCTTCCGCCTTGCTGGCGACACTATATTTTTAAATCTGCTGCGAAATAGCTTGATAGCTGATTGCTAGCAAACCATTCTACTACTTACTTACTTAATACTAATGCGGCAGCAATTATTGTTACTACTTGTTGAGTCACTGTGCCTTACGTCGAGCTGCACCACCTTGTATTCCGGTTGACAATTCAGTATATGAGCGATGGAATATCATACCAAACCGATAACATTTTTGAACTAGGTAGCAATTGTGATAGACTGTAGAATTTTCTCGAAGTTAATCAAGATATTTTCTATGCCCAATGCCGTGAATCGGAAGAAAGTTTCTCTGTGTTTTTTGTTTTAATTGAATAACGTACATGTCTTTGTCTTCAGGACGCTTTTGTGGCAGATAATCTTTCCTTTAAACATTTCGTTATGTTCTTATGTTAGCAGAATCGATGGTTGCTCTTGCCGAAGTCATCGATACTTTACAGTGATGATGTTCCTATAGTTATATACGTGTTTTGGACAAAGAAGTAAGGTAAATATTCGATGGAGACCTACATCAGCCGTATCGAAGTCTATTATCACCACATCTCACTTTGGTATTTTGACATATGCCTCAGCTCGTTGGAAGTCTCATAGGATTTAGCTTTCCTAGAGGCATTATTTTTGAAGGTCCCTCCGCGGGAATTAACGGCGGGTCGAAGCTGAAGGGTTAAGTTGTTTAGTAGGCAGGATTCCTCTAATTTCTATTTCCGGTCTTCCTCGTGCATATGGCCGACGTCTCGTGTAAGCTACATATTTCGTTTCTGTAGCTGTCTACCTGTTCCTTCTTATTAAGTTGCATTTTGATAAGCCAACGTTGCTTCTTTCTTAACATCTTCAGCGGGCCGACCATTTGAGACCTGCCTTCTGTGGTTGATAAGACCTTTTTTATTAGCTATGATAGAAATTTTATGTCATTGGTTATGTTAATTATTGATTTTCAATGTGATTTAGCTTTTCATCTGACGTGCTAATAAACTGTTTGGTCATTGAGCTAATTATTAGCAACAATCTATCCCATTCTAAAGGGGTTACACAAAATAAGGGAAACGCCCGTGAAATCCACAAAATATATTTTAGTATGGGGTAGATACCACCTTTTGCGGCAATTACAGTTTTAATTCTCCAAGGTATTGATTCATACAAGTTGTGAATTTTGTAATGAAGGAATTTTAACCCATTCCTCGGTAAAAACTCCCTTCAGCTCTTTAGACGATGGCGGCGGGAATCGACTCATGACTTGTTTCTCCAAAATCAGCTTAAATGCTCTATAAAATTCAGGTCTGGAGCTTGTGGTGGCCAAATGAGATGACCGTCTTCATTAGAATGTTCATCGAGCCATTTCTAAACAATTAATCTTAAAATTTCTTAACAATTAATTAATTAACAATCCTGTAAGGATTCGGGTATTATTATCTGAAAAAATGGTGTTCGTCTCTGTAAACAGTACTTGAACTACTGGACAAATTTTATCCTCCAAAATGTTGATTTTTTTATGAAGAGAAATCATTTATCTGCTAGATTTTCAAGAAATAGCACCCTAGATCATCACAGATTTTTTTTTTCGGTTGATAGAAGGCAGTCGGGACTGAATGACTTTATGGTTGTCTCAAAGCGTAAACTCGGCCCCCGAGTTTGGATATAAAATAAGCGATGATACGTTTAAAAAATTACATTTTTCCTCTGCTCGGGGACCAATTCTAGAGGTTTTTACACCACTCTAGACGCTTTGAAGCATTTTTACTTGAAAACCAGAGGTTTTCTAATTGCAGTTCTCCCATGCCATGTGGCATGTATGATGTAACACAGATTTGTGCATTCATGGGCGGCATGTCTTATGGAAACTGGGTTCTGTTGCCGTTGGTGTCAGGTAAGGCCTGCAGTAATTTCAACAGCCATGGTCTTTTAACTGTCCGTCACAATTCGATATAGGTCCCGACAGCCTTTCTCAGGCAAATTCAAGGTATGGTCAGACCTGTGCTTTGCCGAGGACGTTTAAATCGGTCATTACTTCTGAGGTTCTGAGACCGTACCTCTAGAAACGTCAAACATTCGGAATGTTTCTGTCACACTAGTGCCTGATGTGCAGGTATCAACAAATTGGCCTTTAGAAAGTTAGAGAGGGTTGCTATTTATAGGTTAGGTTATAGACACACAAATTTACCAAACATCTCTATGCCAGGATAAAATATCAATTGGCAGCAACAATAAAACATGGAAATATGTCAAGTTTTCATTGTTTTTTTTACATGTTCAAAAATTTTCCCATATTTTGTCCAACCCCTAGAACTTCCCGCTTTCATGTAACCAACAAGTTTGGCTGACTTGCAACGTTCCCAACGTTAGGCGTATGCGGTGCTTTATAATGAAATGGAAGTCTTACTGTCTTAGCTCGCTGAAATTTTTTCTTAAGTTGGAAAAATGAAATTTCTGGCAGTGTATGGTCAAAATAAATAAGATTTGATTAGTTTGAACGACGCTTTGACACATGGATATCAAATACAATGATGAGAAGAAAAAATGGATTTATGCAAAGTAAATTAAGAAATGAACGTAAGGTGCGGACGTATCACGTAAAAGATTATAATTACTGACGGGGAAGCCTGAAGTCTTCAAATGAAACATGTTGTTTCCTCGTCCTCTTTCTGCTAAACAGCAATAGTTCGCATATCTATCAAAACTACCATTATTCCATTTGTAGCCGTAGGGCGTGACAGCTATCTCAATCAATCGTCAGCTATGGAAAGATCGGGTTCCAAAGGCCGGATCCCTTGTGAATCAAGTCACGACAAGTTCAAGAATCGGCAACAGGTCATGGGCCTATTTCTTCAGCGCCGACACTTCTATTCTATTCTATTCTACAGGCAATCGGCTACTACATTTTGGGGGTACTGACTAGCTAAAACCCGAATCGGTCCGCCGGACCCGGCCCAGAAAAACATATGTCAAAACGACAATATCAATAAACTTGCGCATTCCGATTTAAGCTTCGGTCGACTACGGACGTGTGTATATGAACATTGAACAATCGACTATCTTTTTCGTTTTTGCTAGAACCACATAGTAAGTATTTTGATATAAATTTCGGTTCTGAAACGGGGCCGGGGGCCCGGGGCCCATACTAAGCGGCGGCGGGCCATAGTGGCAAAGCAGAGAGTTTTTTAGACTCTTCCTCGAGTTCATTTTTGAGTCCCATAAGATAAAAGTAGACCAGTAAAGTATGATAAGTATCTTGGATACCAGAATTATCATTATAAGAAATTGGTTAAAATCTTGAGGAAATTAAAAATGAACTGAATCTAAAAAATCACTGGTTTGCCACTATCAAATATCAAATTGATAGTGGCAAATCACTATCAAAATCACTGGTTTGCTGATCACACTGGTTTGTCACTCTGCCTGGGGCAGAGTGAGTCACTCACTCTGCCCCAGGGTGCAGAGGCCCAACTGGAAATTTAAGGCACCAAACAGAGGTACTCAAATTAGAAAATGTCACGGAATTGCCCAAAAAAGGATTTGCACGGATTTGGTTGAAGTTCTTGGTGCTCCTCACGGAATTGATAA